TGTTTTTTTGTAGCTATTTGTATGTATATGTGGACATATCCATCAACAAAATCTGTCTGCCAAATTACTGGTTGTATATTTTATAATCACAAATATCCAAGAAATGACAATCATAGTCTTTATTTATCAAAATACATCACTGGGTAGGGTAACATTCACCGGCACCGACGTCCGTAAAACAATCACAACGAGACCAAGAACTCTGGGTGTTCCTGGCGGACATGACTCAACATCTTGTGGTCGCGCTGCCCGCCGAAGTCCATCCCGCAGACAGGACACTGACGGCGTCGACCTTTGACAGGACACTGGTGTTCCTCCGGCACGGGAACGCTCTCGTCGCAGACATCACAAAGCCAGCCACTGACTGTCCGACGAAGGATTCTTTGCTTCCGCAGACACACCTTCAGTAGGATATGAATAAGCCTTTCGGACGAGCGCTTGAAGCTGCGGTTGCAGGTGGGACACGAGAACTGAGAGGCGTCGTGAATGGTTCGATGTCCGTTGAGGGTGGTTCGTCGCATGAAGCCTTTCCCGCACACATCGCACGTGAAGGGCCGATCCCCCGTGTGGGTATTGAGGTGCATCTTTAACTTGTATCGATTCTCGAAGCGCTTGTCGCAAAGATGACAGTGAGCGTTCTTCCTTCTGCGGGTGGAAGGCGAGGGACCAGTTGGCGAGGAAGTTACCTGCGGCGCCAGAAAGGTGACCGTGATGGGTCCGAGAGCGCTCTTGAATTCTTGGCTTACTGAAGGAGCAGGTGAAGGGGAGATCTTGAGTTCTTGGCTTACTGAAGGAGCAGGTGAAGGGCAGATCTTGAGTTCTTGGCTTACTGAAGGAGCAGGTGAAGGGCAGATCTTGAGTTCTTGGCTTACTGAAGGAGCAGGTGAAGGGCAGATCTTGAGTTCTTGGCTTACTGAAGGAGCAGGTGAAGGGGAGATCTTGAGTTCTTGGTTTACTGAAGGAGCAGGTGAAGGGGAGATCTTGAATTCTTGGCTTACTTCGAGGGGTGGAGACGTCCAGGTCAGCGAAGGGGCAGCGTCCCAATCCGATGACTTATCAACAAAAGGGCTGAAGTAATTTGAATACAAAGGTGTTGGCTGACTCCATGAAAGGCCACTCGCAGGTCGCACACACTGTCTCTTCGGAGCCGGCAAGGGCGTTCCGAGTAAGTGGTCCATGATGTCCTTCGACGAAAACGCCCCCACAACAGCTCCAAAGGGCCAGGTATAACAAACCGCGCCAGGCCCATACTGAGAGGCAGCCACGTCAGGCAGATCCCAAAAGTTGCGCTCAAAGTGATCCATCTTGATGATCGAACGAGGGAAACTGTGTTGAAGCTACGAGTGAGGAAGAGGGTTATGAATGCTTCCTGACCTGAGGACGATCTTTACGAGTCAAGGTCACAGCCCGCCCGAGTCCCTTCGCCATTTTTGCACCTGAGACGATCAAAATTGCTATTGTTATTATTATTATTATTGATGTGGTTATTTTTATAATAGGAATATTAATTATTAATATTATCATCATTATTATTATTGTCATCATTTTTATTTTCATTTTTATTATCATTAATATCATCATTTCTCATATATCATTTCTAATATCATTTCTATTAACATTTCTATTATCATTTCTATCACTATTTCTTTTAAAAATAATTTCTATTATCATTTTATTATCATTTTATCATTTTTATAATGTTTATTATTATTATTATTTTTATTATGTTTAACATTATCATCATTGTTATTATTATTATCTTTGTTGTTATTATCATCATTATTGTTTTTTATCATTATTGTTTTTTATCATTATTGTTTTTTATCATTATTGTTTTTTATCATTATTGTTTTTTATCATTATTGTTTTTTATCATTATTGTTATTATTATCTTTGTTATTATTATCATTATTGTTTTTTATCCTTATTGTTATTATTAGTATTTTTGTTGTTATTATTATCATTATTATTTTTTATCATTATTGTTGTTATTATTATCATTATTGTTATTATCATTATTGTTATTTTTATCATTATTATTATTATTGTCATTATTGTTATTATCTTTATTATCTTTGTTGTTATTATTACCCTCCTTGGTTAACAGACGCACGTACAAGTATTCGTATACACATATACGTATGGATGAGGACATAATCAAGTAATACGGATATACGCTAATATATCTGCCTACATACCTATTTCTCTCTAAATATATACATGCATATATCTTTTCATGCATGCATATATATATATATATATATATATATTATATTCATATATATATATTGTCTTTATGAGAATTCAATTGATTTAGACTTTTATGAATATCCTTTTCTCAAAATTATATTCCTGAAAATTGAATCGTAAATATACCAAAAGTACTTATAGTGAAATTATGATTAATATTGAGAGGAGTTAAGCATAAACTACATGGTTATTTCCGATAACATAATATGCATTGAATTCTTTTAACACTTGATTAGATTTTACTTTTGACACAAGATTTGCAAATGAAAGAAAAGAATTGAGGCTTATAAGCGACATCAGATGATTTTTCGAAATTCCGCACTTGTAGAAGCCTTAACTCCGTAAAGCAGAAAAATGAGACGGTTATGTTTTCCATGTCTTAAACTCGTAAATTTGATCACTTCTGTAGAAAGTGAACGCGTTCACAATGCATTACAGCAAGCAAGAAAGTTTGTCTTTAATCAATAGTGTAAATTCATAACGAAAATGTTTTCCTTTCCATATTAAAGTAAATTCTTAAAAAAAGAAAGAAAATGATTAATTATCTTATCATTATCAACATAATTATGATTATTATGATCATCTTTATAACAGTTATTACTAAAATGATTATGATTATAATTATTATTATCATTATTTGA